AAGAGGGATTATGTGTACATTACTGCACACACAGTATGGTCCAACTCGTCTGACACTGGAGATTGCGACCTTATCAGACTTTTTGAGACTGCCACGATGGTCCAATACCCTTGTTGCCTGAGTCAGTCACTCGAGGTTTTTGGGCGGCAGGGACTGAAAACGCCACTTTCATTTCGCAGACCTCGCCACGGGCATATGGGACTGTAAGCGTTGCTCTTGGGTTACCCTCTTTGTCATACGCGGGATGGTGGGATGGTGGAAGGAGGGCTACATTTGTTCGATTATCAATAGTCGGTACCCCCTTGATTTTTTCTCGATGTCTTGCACCTAATTACGAAATTGTCGAATTTGGTCAGAATCAAAAAGCAGGGTAACACAGCCCACAAACCAGCCCGTAGGTTCGTTGCGACTCCGCCGACGTTGATGCCCGATTTCGCACAAGCTCCTGGCGAAGTGGTTGGAGGCGAGGTTGGACAGGCAAATGGGGTTTGTCACGGCAGGCAAGCTCCATAATCGCCATTGTCTTGAGTGGAAACAGTGCACACCATGTGCTTCAAAACGGTGTGCGGTTGCTCGTGCTAGAAACAGAAGTGATGCAGGAAGCTTTTGTGAGAGAACCGAGACGTGACTGACTCGGGCAACAAGGGTAGGAGATGTACGGACCGGCCGCTCCTCCTGTGCGGATACAAGCATATCCACCTTATCCCCTCTACAATCCCACCCGTTTTAGGCGACAAAACTTCTACAGTCCAAGTTGAAGTTCTACACTGCTTATGTCCCCCTATATAGTGTCCACCTATAACTGTACAGTTGCACTATCCAGCCAGCGTGGTGACCAATGGACCGGCGAAATCTTCCAAGCAACCAATGGGGGGAGTAGCTGCGATTGCGTGCGATACGACTTGGTGGTTTAGCGAAGCTCGAACGAAATGCGCGGTGAACACTCGCTTTCCATTGGGCACAAAGAACCCCACGTCGGATTCTGGGTATCGGGTGTGGTCCATTTACCCAGTTTAATGGCGCGCATTGTCTCCACGTATGCAACTACGTACCCCCCCCGTGCCCAGCTGGCAGGGCCTGGAACCGAACACCCTCTGGTCATGCAACCTTGGATGTTGGCGATCGAGGCAGAGCGTCCACTTGGCTGTGCAGCTGAAGTTCGTATTTAGAACGCTATCAAACAGCTGTGCACATTCGTTCCACCACCCCGTAACCAGAACCACCCCATTTCTCTACTTCCGACAATGCCTCGCATCCACCGCAGGGCACAAATTCCGATCGTCACCAAGCGGGAAATATGCAAGCATGCGGCTTCAAATCCGCACCTTCGCCTCGACGATCTTGCCCGGTGGTGCTTCACTAGGTTCGGCCTGTTGCCGGACCGAAGCACCGTCGGTAAGATTTTGAAGAACGCCGCGAAATGGGCGGCAACCTCCAAGGACAAGCGCATTCGCGTTCGCGGGTGTCACCACCCCAGCCTCGAGAACGAACTGAAGATTTGGATACGAAATTCCGGTTGTGCTGGAATTCCCTTGACGTTGAGTCTTATTCAGATAAAAGCCAAAAGTCTTGCGCGTGTTTTGGGCATTCCATCCTCGTTTAAATGCTCCCTGAACTGGTGTCACAAGGCTGTGGACCGCATGGGTTTCAAGAGCCTCACAACCAAAGGCGAAGCTGCAGACGCTGACATGGCTGCTGTCAACTGGGCGCGCCAGAAGCTTCCGGAGCTGCTTCTCTTCGTCGGTGTGCACCTCAAGGATCTCTACAACTTGGACGAGACGGCACTGTTCACGTCCTTCCAGCCCCGTCGCACGTGGACTGACGAGACCCTGTCCGGTCGTAAAGTTGCGAAGGACCGCGTCACCGTCGTCTTCACCTGTAACACCGACGGCTCGTCAATGCTCAAGCCCATGATGATAAGCAAGGTTCGACGGCCGCGCGATTTCAATGAAGGGAATTTCGATCCCGAGCCCTGGGTCCATTGGCGTTACAACAAAAAAGGGTGGATGACGAGCGAGGTAAGGAACACACCCCGCCAGCTAAACTCACCCAAATCAAACTCCAGCGTTTTTCCATGTCTTGCAACCGTGTGCTCCTACGTTGTGACTGCACCAGTCGTATTCAAATTAGCCGTAGCGTAATTTCGTAACCGCTTATCTCCCCTCCGTTCTTCGCGATGACTTTCCCTATTTTTTTACAACGTGTAGGTTTTTACTGCGTACATGGAGTCGCTGAACGCAGCCATGTTCGCCGAGGGACGCTCGATCGTCCTCCTCGTCGACAATGCTAGTAGCCACCGCATCACCACTCCGGATGTCATAACCGAGGACCTCTGTGGCTTTCGCACCCGCAAGCTGAGTAACTTACGGATTGTATATTTGCCGCCAAACACGACCGCCTTCATCCAGCCGCTCGACCAGGGCCTGATCGCGACGGCCAAGGCGAGGTACCGAGTGAAATGGCTCGCGGTCCTCACTCAGATGTGGGAAGCGCGCGGCTGCCCGTCGGAGCTGCAGCGGATGAAGCCGAAGATGCGCGAGGTGGTCGTCTGGCTGCATGACGCATGGTTCTCTATCGAACAGAGCACAGTGGAGCACTGCTGGTGGCACGCGCGGATTCTGCCCGCGAGCTGGATGCCCGCCGCTGTGCAGACGGAATCCCCTGCACGAGACCCAGGCGAGGTGCAGCCCGAGTTGGAGGCCATGGCGGCGTGCATTCCTCGCCTTCAGCTTGGGCCGGTCGCGATGGCAGCGTCGGAGTTTCTCGAGATCGACGAGAACCATCCGACTTGCGATCTCGAGGGTTCCGACCCTCTCGCCGTCGAGCCACCTCGTGCCAACCCGCTCCCCGCTGCTCGGGAGGCCCCGTTCGATATCGTCACTTGCCGCGAACACACGAGGGCCATGAGGCACATTGCGCGTCGGGCCACGGAGATGCTTGTGGGCTATGCCCGGGCTACGGGCATTAGCCCGAACGACCTCCGCCACCTGTTCGACATCCGGAATCCGGTGGTTGTCGACAGGTTGGCCAGGGCGTCGGGGAACGCTCTGAACCTGAATCTTCCCCCGCCCGTCCTGCCCCCTACTCCCGCCGCCGCTATAGATGACCCTGATGCCATCGCCGCGCGGCGCCGCCTGCTCAGCGTGGCGGGAGATTTGGATGGCCACGCTGACGAATCCGACCTGCTTGGCTTCTGAGACAACCGCATACTAAGCATGCGGCGCCTGGCCGCGGGTCACGATGCGTATGTCGTTTCATATCTGTGTCTTTCATAAAACCCTTTGTCTCTCTACTTCCACCCTCTGTCTCTCTCATCTGTCATCTGTTTCAGTACTTGTCCGCGTGTCGTTTTGTTGGTGCTTTCGTGTGTGTTTAAATGCGTTCTACGTGAAGGTCGCGACTAGTTGTGTGGGGTTGTTCTACGGCGTTCACCTGCTGCATAATCTTAGGGTGTCTTTTTGCGTGTTTTGTGCGAAGTAGAGACGCTGGTTGACAGTGCAACAACGTGTGCCTGTCCAGCGATGGACTCGTGTTGCAGACAGTGTGACTCGGCAGTCGTGAGTGTTGGGTGGTAGGGTGTTCTGCTGTTTATAGCGTTGCATGTCTCGGACACGTAGGCCTTTGTTGTAACCAGTGTCTCTATATGGACGGTTTCTTTTTACTCTGATGGTTGTGAGCTGGATAATAATCATATTATGAACTGCAAGATGAGATGTTGGGCGAAAGTCGCTCAAATCGTTTAGAATCCACTGGCGATAATATGGTAACATTGTTGTGACCGCATGGGTTAACGTATGTTACCCCACAATCATTTCTGACACGTGCCGATTTCCCCTCTATTGTCGAATTTGCCTGTGTTACCAGCTTTGCGACTTTCAGTCCCGCGCCGCGCGATTTTTGGCCGGGATTCAAAAGGAGAAATGGTGTAGAACGAATCTGAGCTGGCTTCAGTTGCGAAAAAGGTCGGCTGTGGTTCGGTTGGTACTGGTTCATAATCGAGGCTGCGCTGGCCAAATTCATCCTCGATTTAGTCCGCCCCGCACCCCGCGAGTTCCCGCATAATTCAAAACTGTGGCCCTGGTTTTGCCACGGTGTACCATGCTTTACAGGTCATCGGCGCTTTCTATTTTGATTGGCGGGGCGAGATCTGACCGCCTCACGCTCGTGCGTTCACCGCGCGCCATTCCATTTGTGTTTTTGAGAACCGTCCTTTTGGAAAGAGGATGAGCCTTTTCAGCCAGCCCGTGTTGATTTGGGTGGAATGTAGCACAGCCCTAGGCTAGAACTGTCCCGTCCCGCGGAATCCCATTCTGGGGCGGCTTGCGTACAGCACAGTGGAACAGGTCAGTCAATGGAAATGCCGCACCTCGCATTACAGTTACATCGTCGGCGGCACGTCTTATGTATGGCCGGCGGAGTGGGCGTTGTGCTGGCTACGGCTACTGTGCGGTGCGCCGCGCTGCTATGCTACTACACCTGACGTCCAGTTAATATTTTATTCATTAGATGCCACGTGTTTATTTACAGGCTCATTGGCTCGAACGCACGGGAAACGGCCCAATCGACACTTTACCCACATCTGATGCGGAGTCCTCCAAACGTGCAGACGGGACGTTCTCAAACCTTACACTGTTGCCCGAGAAACGCAAAACAAACAACAATGGTCACCCGCTTTAGACGGGAAAATGCCAACTAGGTAACCAGACTGCCCTATATTGGCCCAATTCGCCCGTGAAAGTTATGTGCTCAACTCTGGAGCACCCGCCCGAAAAAAACTTGGGCCAGAAAAGGTCTTCATGTGTACTGTACCTGAATTTACTCAACTGGCTCCAAGCTTTCCGGTGAATGCTGGCCGCTCGTTTACCTCAGACTGCCCAACAAACTGCCCATCGTCATCATGCAGAGAGAGACGTCGGCTGCGACCGACTCCAGCGACGTGCGCAAGCGTTCGCTCCCATGACCATCCCATCCCTCCCATCCCATCTCCCTTTTGGACGAATGTTGGACTTGGACCACCATTGCGCATCATCAGGCAGTATTCCCTTACCTCGCTGCTGCTTCTAGTGAAGAAACAACCTGCGGAGCACGGATAGACCTAGACTGGTATGCTTTGGTACGAACAGTCCATATTAGTCGCAACCTCCAGCACGACAGCGTCTGTAGCAAAATCAGCTGCCGAACAACCTCCAGGAACCACCGCTCCGAGCGTGAGGAGTCCTCGTAGTAGTAGGCAAGATGAGGGAGAGACAGCGGCGTTACAACGCGTCCTACCAGCAGCCGGACCGCCAGCTCGAACCACGGCGGCGTCCGCGGGAGCTTCTGCTCGGCGCGCTGCTGCTGGCTGCTCTGCTGCTCCACCCCGCCATTGTTGAAGGCATCCCCTGGGATGCGTCGCAAGGTACTTTCCGGGCATGAGTCGCATGTCATCGCCTGGCATGAGTCGCATGCCATGAGTCGCATGGCATGAGTCGCATGGCATTAGTCGCATGTCATCGCCGCGATGAGCCGCATTGTCATCGCCTGACATCGCAAGGTCACGCATGGCATGAGTCGCAATGTCATCGCATGGCACGAAGTTGCAAGGTCATCGTCTGGCATGAGTCGCAAGGCGGTCAACGCATGGCATGAGTCGCAATGTCATCGCATGGCATGCAAGGTCATCGCCTGGCATGAGTCGCCTGGCATGAGTCGCAAGGCCATCGCCAGGCATGAGTCGCAAGGCCATCGCCTGGCATGAGTCGCAAGGCGATCGCCAGGCATGAGTCGCAAGGCGATCGCCTGGCATGAGTCGCAAGGCCATCGCCAGGCATGAGTTGCAAGGCCATCGCCTGGCATGAGCCGCAAGGCCATCGCCTGGCATGAGTCGCAAGGCCGCCTGGCATGAGTCGCAAGGCCATCGCCAGGCATGAGTCACAAGGCCATCGCCTGGCATGAGTCGCAAGCCATCGCTTGGCATGTGTAACGTCTGCGGACGGAATTACCCTAGAGTGTAGAAACGCATTCCGCTGCGCCTCTGGGTAACCTCGTTTTGACCCAGTGGGTAGCGAGGCGTTATAGCATGAGTCGCAAGGCCATCGCCTGGCATGAGTCGCAAGGCCATCGCCAGGCATGAGTCGCAAGGCCATCGCCTGGCATGAGTCGCAAGGCCATCGACATGAGTCGCAAGGCCATCGCCTGGCATGAGTCGCAAGACCATCGCCTGGCATGAGTCGCAAGGCCATCGCCTGGCATGATTCGCAAGGTCGTCGCTTGAAGAGTAGCAGCCTGCGTCCCGCAATCCCGCACCCTCGTGTCGCCGTCGCACCAACAACTTGTCGCCGCTTGAAACGGGAAGCGCCGCTTGTCGCCGGCGCAAGTTCTAGGGCGGTTCTCCACAGCTTGAAGTTGAACATGCGGCTTCTAGGGCGGTTTCGCGACGACTCAAACACCGGAAATGGAACCGGGCGGCGAGACAAAAGACAAGGAGGGGGGTCAGACGGAGGGGTCTTTGTTGCGCCGCTTGCCATTCCTGACTCCTTTCGGCTGGATCCCTCCTCCGCCTCCTCGGAATGAGTCATTCCTACAACATTCCTCCACATCCTTCAACTCTCTCCTCATTCCCCAGCACCTCGATTTCCGTTTCCCCCCTTGTTTGCCCGCGTGGCAGTGCCTGTGATCGAGGACCTGAGGAAGGCCATGACTGTGAGCGGACAGGTGGTTGCGTTCAAGGGGTGGAATGCAGGTGACGACTGCACCACTGCTCAAGTGCTCACTTGTGACGGCCAGGGCATGGTTACCAGAATGTAAGGCGTGGTTACTAGCATGTAAGGCATGGTTACCAGCGTGTAAGGTGTAACGGCTGCTGACTTACCTAGAATGTAAAAACGCCCCGCTGCGACCTCTGGGTAACCCTCGTTTTGCCTAGTATCGAGGCTTTATAAAACGCGTGATCGCCAGCATGTAAGGCATGGTCCCCGACTCCCCGCATGTAAGCCGTGGGTCGGGTGGGTACGAGCATGCAAGTCGTGGTTGTCAGGGTAGTCAGGGTACAAGCAAGAGATGCTTATGTTCTAGTTGACAATATGGTAGCTTACCCCATTGCTCTCGCTGCTTTTCTTTCCTAACTCCTTTCCTGACTCCTGCCCATCTACGTTGGAAAAAACGCTCGAACGGCCAAGCGTTTTGCGTTCGAACGCAAACGCCCAAACGCTAGGCAAACGCGCAAACGCAAGAGCGGGCTGCCCGCAAAAAACAAATCAAAATTTCGAAATTTTGAAACCAGTTTGCGACGTGCTGGGGAGGAAGAGGTGGCAAGGGTGGCAGGGGAGGCTGGTGTTAGGGTAGCTGCAGCATGGTGTGGGGGGCATAAATTGTAGTACTCGCGGCGGCTTATTGTAGGGAAGATGCATCCTGGTTGTGTTGCATGGGAGAGGGGGTAGGTGTGTGTGATGTGATGGATGGATGTTAGGTTGACTTGTGAATGTACCCTGAAACTTTTAATATTTTATTCATGGGGGTGGTGGATGAAGGTGCCCTTCACGCCCTTCCTTTCGCCCCCCCCCCCCCCCCCCCCCAGAAGCCCGTTCTTTTGCCCTGCCCGAAACTTTTTTTAACCCTGCCTGGGCCAGCGTTTTCCTAGCGTTTGCTCCCCTCCTGGCCAAGCGTTTTGCGTTTAAACGCTAGCGTTTAAAACGCCAAACGCGTTTATTCCAACATAGCTGCCCATTCGGCCTCCCTGCTCGTGTGTGTCTCTCTGTATCAGAATCCTGTTCACTACTAGTGGCAAGTACTACGGCTCCATCCCTTCCAGCATCGGGACTCTCCTGCGACTCACCTCCTTGTAACCATCTCATGGCCCTTTTTCCATGTCGCAGCCTCCCCCCCACTCCCACTCCCCCCTTTTTATCACGCTTTATTCCTCGCCTTAAAACCACGTGAGCCCCTCACATTGTCCCGTGAGTTTCCAGAGGGGGAGCATGCATTCATACTCATCCGATTGCTCTAGCATTTGCCTGCCAAGCAAGCTGCGTGAAAGCATTCAACCCGCAATAACGGCAGTGTGCTCCGGCGCAACCTGTTCAGCAAGGAGCTCCCAGCGTCTCTCAGTAGCCTTGTCAACCTTGTGCGCCTGTGAGTTCCGCAGTAGGAATGCAGCTGGCCTGCCATGCGTGGGGCCGGGACTGCTTGTTTGCCACATCGCAAAAAGTGCAACGTTCACAGATCGTTTTCACCATTCGAGCTCGGGCGTAAAGTCGGAAATCGTCCGCCAAGTGTTCGCCAAATGTTTTTTTCTCGTTTTTTTGCACGTAAATGATTCGCGAGTCTTCTGCGGATGGGATGTTATGCGAATGAGTTGTTTTGTGAATGTTACACCTGAATAATAAACATGTTCCCGTGGCTTATATTTGCATAAATGATTGGTTTTTGTACACTTAAACTTCTACAAAGTTTTAAAATTATGCATAAGTAACTGAAATATAATAATATATAAAATATGTGCAATTTGCCAAAAAAACTAACTAAATCCAACCCCAACCAACTCAACCCATATCTCACACGCTATTCGAGGTTCGGCGAGACCTGTAACCAGGTTGGGTTACGCAGCTCCAATGGGTTGCGAAACCCAGATACCACGTCCTAACCCTATGCACCGTGAGGAAATTGAACAACCCCCTCGGGCATCAAAAGGGGCCATGCGATTGGTCGAAGCCAAACAACAACAATCGCAAACCCAACCCACAGCCTGCTCCCTCGACAACAAAAACGACTAAGGGAAAGATGGTAGCAGATCTCGAATTCGGCATCTGTAATTTTCTCGACTTGCCCTCGTTTCCTCCTAGATCCATGCTCATGCGTAGCCATGCTAGAGAGTTGGTAGCGACTTATAAGATGGGATCGAGGCGACACCGACGTCAGGCTAGTGAACGCGGATATCAATTGAGGTTCTTGGCGCGCGTAGCCTAGCCTGGACGAAATCACCAGCGCCTGAAAACAAGGGCAGGAAACAAATGACGAATCCCCCGCTGCTAACGGCCCACCGTTGCGGGCCGCTATAGCTTCCCGCCGCCTTCGATCTCCTCGTACGAAAATGCCACCCGCGGCTTCCCACATCGTGCTATCCCTGTCCTCGCGCTTCCTTGCTTCCCAAATCCCCGCTACCCGCTTTCGAAAGCACGTCCGCATCTCACCTTCACGTGCTGCAGCATCTCGCTGTCCCTCGCTTCCTTCCACCCGCTTTCACCCGCGTCCCGCTATCGCTTGCTCCCCGAATCCCGCTTTCCCATGCTCCTCGCATTACCTTGCTCCCCGCATTCCAATGCTCCTCGCATTCCCATGCTTCCCTCATTCCCATTTTCCCGGCATTCCCATGTTCCCCGCATTCCCATGTTCCTCGCATTCCCTTGCTCCCCGCATCTCGCTTTCCCATGCTCCCCGCATTCCCTTGCTCCCCGCATCCCGCTTTCCCATGCTCCCCGCATTCCCATGTTCCCTGCATTCCCTTGCTCCCCGCATCCTGCTTTCCCATCCTCCCCGCATTCCCATGTTCCCCGCATTCCCTTGCTTGCTCCCCGCATCCCGCTTTCCCATGCTCTCTGCATTCCCTTGCTCCCCGCATTTCCTTGCTCCCCACATCCCGCATTCCCATGCTCCCCGCATTTCCTTGCTCCTCGCATCCCGCATTCCCATGTTCCCCGCATTCCCTTGCTCCCCGCACCCCGCTTTCCCATGCTCCCCACATTCCCATGTTCCCCGCATTCCTTGCTCCCCGCACCCCGCTTTCCCATCCTCCCCGCATTCCCATGTTCCCCGCATTCCCTTGCTCCCCGCATCCCGCTTTCCCATGCTCTCTGCATTCCCTTGCTCCCTGCATTTCCTTGCTCCCCACATCCCGCATTCCCATGCTTCCCTCATTTCCTTGCTCCCCGCATCCCGCATTCCCATGCTCCCCGCATTCCCGTGTTCCCCGCATTCCCTTGCTCCCCGCACCCCGCTTTCCCATCCTCCCCGAATTCCCATGTTCCCCGCATTCCCTTGCTCCCCGCATCCCGCTTTCCCATGCTCTCCGCATTCCCATGCTCCCCGCATTCCCGTGTTCCCCGCATTCCCTTGCTCCCCGCACCCCGCTTTCCCATCCTCCCCGCATTTCCGTGTTCCCCGCATTCCCTTGCTTGCTCCCCGCATCCCGCTTTCCCATGCTCTCTGCATTCCCTTGCTCCCCGCATTTCCTTGCTCCCCACATCCCGCATTCCCATGCTCCCCGCATTTCCTTGCTCCTCGCATCCCGCATTCCCATGCTCCCCGCATTCCCGTGTTCCCCGCATTCCGTTGCTCCCCGCATCCCGCTTTCCCATGCTCTCCGCATTCCCTTGCTCCCCGCACCCCGCTTTCCCATCCTCCCCACATTCCCATGTTCCCCGCATTCCCTTGCTTGCTCCCCGCATCCCGCTTTCCCATGCTCTCTGCATTCCCTTGCTCCCCGCATTTCCTTGCTCCCCACATCCCGCATTCCCATGCTCCCCGCATTTCCTTGCTCCTCGCTCCCGCATTCCATGCCCGCATTCCCGTGTTACCCGCATTCCCTTGCTCCCCGCACCCCGCTTTCCCATGCTCCCCGCATTCCCATGTTCCCCGCATTCCTTGCTCCCCGCACCCTGCTTTCCCATCCTCCCCGCATACCCATGTTCCCCGCATTCCCTTGCTCCCCGCATCCCGCTTTCCCATGCTCTCCGCATTCCCTTGCTCCCCGCTTTCCCATGCTCTCCGCATCCCCTTGCTCTCCGCATCCCCTTGCTCCCCGCATTTCTTTGCTCCCCACATCCCCCATTCCCATGTTCCCCGCATTCCCTTGCTCCCCGCACCACGCTTTCCCATCCTCCCCGCATTCCCTTGCTCCCTGCACCCCGCTTGCCCATGCTCCCCGCATTCCCATGCTCCCCGCATTCTCATGCTCCCCGCATTCCTTGCCCCCCGCATCCCGTTTTCCCTTGTTCCCCGCATTCCCATGCTCACCGCTGTCCCATGCCCCCGCTTTCCCATGCTCCCCTCATTCCATGCTCCCCGCATTCCCATGCTCCCCGTGCTCCCCGCATTCACATGCTTCGCGCATTCCCATGCTTCCCACATTCCCTTGCGACCCGCACCCCGCTTGCCCTCGCTAATCCGCTGCTGCCTCTCTCCCCTGTTTCCCGCCACCCGCTTCCCCTAGCTTCCGGCATGCCGCTTTCCCCCGCTTCCTGTTTCTGCCATTCCCCCCTTTTCACATCCCGCTTTCCCCCGGTAGCGACTAGCGCTTCCCGCTTCACCTCGCGGACCGCTTCCCGCTTTCCCTTGCGGGTCGCTTCCCACTTTCCCACGTTGTAACGTGTTACCCGCTTTTTCGCGCACCGCAATCCCCTGCCTTCTCATTGAATGAAAACAGATAAAGGTTCAAGGCGCAGCAGCAGGGAAGAAAGCGAGGCCGCAGGGATGGGGAAGACAACAGATAGTAGCGAGCGGGAGAGGCGAGAGGGGAGGGAGAGGGGCACGAGAGCAGTGGAGGGGGGAAGGCGTGAGAGCAGGGAGGGAGTGAGGCATGAGAGCAAGGAGGGAGTGAGGCACGAGAGCAGGGAGGGAGTGAGGCATGAGAGCAGGGAGAGAGTGAGGTATGAGAGCAGGCGTGAGTGCAGGGGAGGGGGAGAGGCGTAAGAGTAGGGGAGGGGGAGAGATGGGAGAGCATGGAGGTATGAGGTGCGTGATAGGGGGGGATGTGGGAAGGCGCAAGAGCCATGGAGGGAGCGAGAGGTGAGAGAAGGGAAGGGAAAGAGGGGTACGAGTAGGGGAGTGGGGAAAGGGAGAGTGCAGCCCGGAGGAGATGGGGAGGGGAAGAGGCGTGAGGGCGGGGGAGGAAGAGGCGTGAGGGGCATGGGAGGGGGAGAGGGTGTTAGGGTAGGGGAGGGGGAGTGGCGTGAGTGCAGGAGAGTGGGGAAAGATGGATTGCAGTGAGGGTAGGGGGGTAGGAGTGAGAGCAGAGGAGTGGGAGAGGCGTGAGGGCGTGAGAGGCAGGGACAGCTGGAGGAGATGGGGAGGGAAAGAGGCATGAGGAGAGCGGAGGCAGATACGCATGAGGGCAGGGGAGAGGGAGATGCATGAGGGCAGGGGAGGGGGAGAGGCATGAGGACAGAGGAGGGGGAGTGGCATGAAGCAGGGGAGGGGGAGAGGGCAGTAAGTGTGAGCGGGATCCCGGCAGGACAGGCAGTAAACACTCTATAACTAACCCCTCTCAACCCCCCGCCCCCCCACTAACGTATGCCCCCATCTCTTTCTCCCCCCCCCCCCCCCCCCCCCCCTCCCCCCCCTCCCCTCCTCCCCGCTCTCTCGCAGCCTACCGGGTGGCACATGATTGCCAGTCAAGCTCACCTTGGACAACCTCTCCGTTAAAAGCCAGACTTCACCCCAAACCTATCCACTCACTCCCCTGTGCATCTCTCAACAAACCACATTCTGTGGGTGATCTCCGTGCGGCCACGCATTCAGACATTCAGCCGTTATTGGCAAATGCTAACCATGTCTCTTCTCTAGCATCATCTACAACGGCTGCAGAAAATGGAAATTATGTAACCCTACATATGTGAACGACACCTTGTAACTGAGTTGGTCCAGGGTTGTAAAGCCAACTTGAATTTTGAGGTCACAATTTCTCTCCCTCAAGTTTGTTACATTCTTCCTGCCACATATATATGTGACCTTTTCAGGTTATGAACGGCTTGTCGGTCGTTCTGTAAGAGTACATGAACTTGGCACCAATTTTGGCAACAAGAGTAGCTTTTTATCTTTAGCATAAAGTCATATTAGTCTAGATACATTCAGAAAGTCAAGTTCCCATGGAAAGCGATTTAATCTACTAAACAAATCCAAGACACACACTGAGATATATCGAAAACGTCTTAGCATATATAGTAACAAGTGTTGGCTACAACACCTCCATCCAACCACCAAGAAGGGCGTAGTCCAACGGAATCGGTGCAAAACACGGCTTTATGAAATTTGTGAATACCAAACTGAACCGAATTGAATCGCAAATTACAGCGTGCTATAGAGCGCGCGGATTCTGGGATCCAAAATTTCAGGTCCTATTTGCTTGATATTCGGGTCTGTAGAAACACGCCCCTATTCACAAAATGACGTGCTGACCAATCACACACCCTTTGCCCCCACCCTTCACCTGCAACCGAACCCAACAAAATTTATTCATCCAACTCAGCCCCTGCACCTCGTCCAACCAATCAAAATCTGCCAAGTGGTTCCAGAGCGGCTAATCCAGCTCAACCACCTGCTCGCCCCAACCACCCAGCCCACCACGCTGCACCCCACATGCCAGCACTCCAGCCCACCACACACTTCTGATCCCTTCCTTACTTGTCCCCTTGCGCCCTCTCATGCCTTCCAGCTAGACGTTACTTACAATAATAGCCCTCGGCAGTTCTATCTGCATCAGTTTCAGCTCCCATTCTCGCCTTCGCGCCCCCTAGTGAGCAGCTCCTTCCTCTCCCACAGGCTTCGATTACCATGGTCGTTCTTAGTGTGCCCTATGCTGAGGATCTCGTTTCACGATGGTCTATCATTTCAAGCAGCTCGTAGGTGACTAGTCTTGTTCACCCATGTCATTCTTATCTGCATGTTCATGAGCTAATGCGCCATTGGGGGGGCAGGAGAGTAAGGAGGGGCGAGGGGGAGGAGGCGGCACGCAGAAGCGGTATCTTCGGGAGGCGGGGCGCCTGGCGGAGTACCTAGATGCGCGCATGGAGGCAGCCACCAGGTGCGCGGACGCCAGCAGATGCGAGCACGGTGGTGAAACATCTCTTCCCTTGTTTCGCTTCTCGCCACTGTCCTTTTCCTCTCTCCTGTACTCGTTCCGTCTATGCCCGTCTCGATCCCCCTTTCGTGCCCTCTCTCCCTTTTCGCTCGTCCCAGCTGCTCTTTCTCCCCCTCGCCCCTGGAGCTGTGCTTGCCATGTGTGTGCTTGCCACGTGTGTGCTTGGCGCAGCAGTGGTGCGGCGCGACTCGTGCAGAGAGGCATGGCTAGTAGTGTGTGTGGGAAGGTGGAGGGGGCAGAGCGGAATGGAGAGCATCCGCTCTCGTGCACTCCCCTTCTCACGCGCATGCCCCATCCATCCGTCCATCGTGTGTGCGCTGCAGGTTGGGCGCAGCAGCAGCAGGCCCGAGGAGCAGTGAAGGGGGGCATGCTGGCGCCATGGGTGGTGCGCTGCCAGACGACGTGAGCGCCATGGCGTATGCGCACGACCTGCCACCCAAGGTGCATACATGTGCCTTGCTATATGCATGGCGGTGTGAAGCCATCCCTGGCAGCCCATCCGTGTGCCCTCTGTTCTGCCTGTTGCGTGCCCATGCCACCCCCTTTTGGCTCTTGCACGCCACGCCTCTCCATGCGACCTACCACTCTCCTTGCCTTTACTCACCTCTTTCTTTCACATGGCTGCATGGAATCACATGGCTGCATGGCATGGCATGGGCGCATGGCACATGGGTGCATGGCATCACATGGGTGCATGGCATCACATGGGTGCATGGCATCACATGGGTGCATGGCGTGGGTGCATGGCATCAGGTGCATCTGTGGCAGCACCACGAGTCTCTCTCCTCGCGCCATCTCTCCTCCTCCCTCGCCTCCCTGCACCGTTACTTCGACTACAGGTGAACAGTCATGGCCAGGCGGAGAGGGGGGGGTCATACAGGTGCCACGGATGGGTTGCTGGAGTAGAGAGGCCCATGAGAGGGCATTCGCAGGCACGTGCGAGTGTGGGGGGCAGTGGGAAGGGCCTGCTGCATGACAGGGCAAGGAAGTGTGGGGGAGAGTGTGGCGTTCGCACGTTGATACGTGTGATCGTGTGAGTGTGCTGTGCACGCGTGGCCCTCATGGTGAGGCGGCCACGAGGAGTGCAGCCACCACGAGGAGTGCAGCCGCCACAAGGAGTGCAGCCTCCATTCTGTTCTTCCATGTCTTGTGCGCTCTTCCCCTACTCTTGCGCACACCGTCACTCCACCCTCCCGCTTCCGCCCCCTGCCACCCCCTCCTCTCTCCAAGCAGTGCGGGCGTGACAGCGGTGGGTAGTCGCCCGGCGTCGGAGTGGTGGGCGGGGCGATTCCAGGCGGGGCTGCTGGTGGAGGGCGCCATGCACGCACGATACGGGCACACACAGCACGCCATGGGGGTATGAAGGCATTTGTTACTTGACGTATCAATCAAACTAATGATTCGCATGTGTCCTCACGATGCTTGTCTTTATCGCAGCTAGCTATGTAACTCTGTCCAACATCGAGATAATTCCCCATGTAAGTCCAATTGTAAGTCTCGCTGGTTATTTGATCGTCGGACTAATTTCACAACAATGTCTCGTATGACGTGCAGAAATTTGTAGCCTACCACGAGCTATTTCCTCCGGTAAGCTGGCTCTTGTAATTGCTATCGTATGGAATATAACTAATTTGATTACAATGTTTGAACCTAATGTGCAGGACTCAATATCCAGCGTCGCGCTACTTCGTTGTTGTAAGCATTGTCCTTATTGTTGGTGATTTCGACCTTGGATTAATTTCGAGATAACAAGTTCTGAACGTAACGTGCAGGAATTCCAATCCAGTTTCAAGAATTGCTGCTCCTGGTGTGCCGCCGCTCCGTTTCTCTTTGTGTTAGTGCGGGACCCACATAGGGGTGCTGGTAGGCAAGGGCGGTTGGGCCATAGTGGTTGTGTACTGTGGTGTAGATGTTTTTTTTAATATATCAAATAATTTGCTTGTTGCATTATAAGTAAATCCAAACGAGGCATGCCCTAATTGTACTGAACCATGCCCAAAAGGGTACTGCAGCCTGCAAAAACGGATCCATGAAAAACACCACCAAACGTTTGCAACAAATCATGCTGAATACTAAAAATGGTGAGCATAAACTTCTCTATGCATTTACATGTTTACTGCAAAAGTTGTAGAAAGAACACCGCCATGCATTTGTAAACGAACCACAGAGATTACCGAAAAGACACCTCTAAGCATTCGCTGTCGTGAACCAAAAAGTGTTTCGGGAAATGTTGCCCAAGCATTCGCCAAGTGTTCTGATCTTAGTCCGCCATGAATTTTCACCCACATGTTCGCAAAACGTTTGCAAAGCATTCGCTCGAATGCTACGCAATCGTTTTGCGAGCACACCTTTTTTGCGATGGGGCCTCCCCGCGCACCAAGTCTCCGCCTACGACGACCTCTCCGTCACGCTCTCCTTCCGCCAACCCGACGCCGATGCCTCCCAGCCCCCCGTGCTCCTGCTCCCCCTGGTCCGCGGATCCCCCTTCCTCACGTTCATCTTCCCCCCGGGCGGGCCCCCCGCGACGCCCGTGCTGACGACGGTGCACGCCATAACTGACGTGCAGGCGAGCGGCGACAGCAAGTACCGCGTCGCACTCAACAACGGCCAGGTCAGCCCCCCGCGCCCTGTACTGCTAACCCTCCACCCCCTCCCCATTCTGCCACTCTCGCAATCCCCCCCCCCCCCCCCGCATTTGCCCGCGAAACCTTGTTTGCTTATCTGAAGGACCTTCCCCCTCCCCCCTCCTCCCCCCAGACGTGGGTGGTGTACCTGTCGTCGCCGCTGTCGCTGCGGCATGACGGGGCGGCGCTGGTGGCGGCGGTGCCATTCACGGGGACCATGCGCGTGGCGCTGCTGCCCGGCAACGCCGCAGAGCAGGAGGAGGCGCTGCTGGACGCGCACGTGGCCACAGTGCCGCTGGGGGGGCGCGCAAGGGTTGGCGCGTTCCGCATCAAGTACCGCTGGCGCACGCAGCAGTGGCGCGAGGTGGCTCCTGGCGACTCCAAGGCGCCCCTGCTCATGCTCTCGCTGCCGGGTGGGTTCAAGTGGGCTGCTTCCATGTGTGCTGCCATGCGTGCTGCTGCCATGCGTGCTGTTGCCATGTGTGCTGCTGCCATGCGTGCTGCTGCCATGTGTGCTGCTGCCATGCGTGCTGCTGCCATGCGTCCTGCTGCCATGCATGCTGCTGCCATGCGTTCTGCTGCCATGCGTGGTGCGAGAGGAGCCCTTTGTGCTGCTGTGTGTGCTGCCCTGTGTGCTTCCCTGTGTGCTGCCCTGTGTGCTGCCGTGGGTGCTGCCGTGTGTGCTGCCGTGTGTGTTGCCGTGTGTGCTGCCGTGTGTGCTGCCGTGTGTGCTGCCATGTGTGCTGCCCTGTGTGCTGCCGTGTGTGCTGCCGTGTGTGCTGCCGTGTGTGCTGCCGTGTGTGCTGCCGTGTGTGCTGCCCTGTGTGCTGCCGTGTGTTCTGCCGTGTGTGCTGCCGTGGGTGCTGCCGTGTGTGCTGCCGTGTGTGCTGCCGTGTGTGCTGCCGTGTGTGCTGCCGTGTGTGCTGCCGTGTGTGCTGCCGTGTGTGCTGCCGTGTGTGCTGCCGTGTGTGCTGCCGTGTGTGCTGCCGTGTGTGCTGTGCTGCCGTGTGTGCTGCCGTGTGTGCTGCGCTGCCATGTGAGCTGGAATGCCATCACAAGTGTCACCGTGCTGTCAGCTGCCCTCTTCCTCTAAATACCAACCATCCAACTCTCCTCTTTTGTCACCCACCTCCCCACTTCCGCGCCGTTGTCGGCTTTGCATCACCCTGCCGTCCCCTTCCCCCTCCCCGTTCCCCCATGAGCAGTGCACCGGCGCCTGGGAGTGCGCTCGGACAACCCCTCCCCCTCCTCCTCCCTGCGCCCCCGCAGCGTCTCCCCGTCCCTTAGCGCGGGCTCCATCCGCGGCACCCGTCACCCCGCGCCTGCTGGCTCCTCCGCTCTTAGGGGCCATGGCGGTAGGGCCCAGGCGGGCTGGGAGTACCACAGCAGCGACGCTGCAGCACGGACTGGGGCACGTATGGCATCAAGGGCAGCGTCAGCGGCAGCGCCATCGGCAGGGGAGGCGGACGAGGCTGTGCTGGCGTACCCCACCATCGATGGGCAGGCGGTGGGCATGGGGGGGTCGGTGTGGGAGGTGCAGGTGCCCAGGAAGCCCACCCTGTGGCACTCGGACGGCCTCACGGCCAACGCGCAGGTGCTGGACGAGGTGAGGGCGAGCCTGCAGCAGGACGTGGCGGCGCTGCCGCCGCTCTCCAACCCCTCCACCTACTTCTTCGGCAAGGCAGCGGCGCGTGCCGCCCGCCTGGCGCTCATCGCGGACCAGCTGCACGATGACAGCAGCCTGGCCGCCGTGCTGCCGCCCCTGCGCTCCGCCCTCTCCGCCTGGCTGGACGGCACCTTCCCCGGTAACCGCCTGCTGTACGACCCCACGTGGGGGGGCGTGGTGAGCGAGGCGGGGTCGCGCGATCAGGGGGCGGACTTTGGGCTGGGCATGTACAACGACCACCACTTCCACTACGGCTACTTCATCTACGCGGGGGCTGTGCTGGCCAAGTGCGACCCCGAGTGGGGCAGCCGCTACCGCAACGCGCTCACGGGTCTGCTGGCGGACTACATGTCGGTGGACCGGGCGCAGGGCTGCCCTAGGCTGCGCAACTTCGATGCGTATGCGCTGCACTCATGGGCCAGCGGGCTGGTTGACTTTGCGGACGGCCGCAACCAGGAAAGCTTCAGCGAGGCCGCCAACGCCTACTATGCCGGCTCCTTGCTGGCCTTGGCGTTTGGGGACCAGCCTCTCGCCACACTGGGTGCCACACTGGCAGCAGTGGAGGCCGTGGCAGCGCAGACCCTCATGCAGGTGCCGCCCAGCTCATCCGCGCCTCCCTCGCCTCTCTCCCCCGCGTACGAGCCTGTGTTCGCCGACGCCAACCGCATGGTGGGCGTGCTGTGGTCCACCAAGCGCGACGCCGCGCTGTGGTTCGCTCCGCCCGCGGACCTGGAGAAGCGCCTGGGCATCCAGGTGCTGCCCGTGACGCCCTTCCTCGCACGCCTCTTCCCCGACCGCGACTATGCCAGGCAGCTCGTGGAGTGGGCGCAACCCGTGCTCAGCGGCTCTGCCGCCACTGACGAGTGGCGCGGCTTCGCTTGGGCCCTGCAGGCGCTATACGATCCTGAGGGCGCCAGGACTAACATCGCTGCGCTGGGAGCATTTGATGACGGCAACTCCAAGACCAACATGCTCTGGTGGCTGGCTGCCAACATGCCATAGCTTGAAATGGTTGCCCATGATAGGCTGATGCTTGTGCATGTACAGGAGCCCAGGGTAGCGTACACACAGCCTGTTTCGAATGTAGCCACAGCACATCTACCATATTTATGTCAAAGTAGTGCAGAAAAGATGACTAGGAAGAGGGAGGGCAGATACATGTGCTAAGTGTTGTCCTTTCTAAGAGCTGTCCTAGCTAGGTTATACGAACATATATAACCTAGCTAGATATACAAATATGTTTGTTTTGTTGACACACCCCCTTGTTGGGAGACCTGCTGGGGTTGCCCTTGAGATCCTCGGGGAAGGGCCATACACAGTGTCAACTTATATGTATTGAGAAAGCTTGCTACCCGTATTCTCCCGGATACAGTACCCGCCGGAATGAAGCTCCCATGGGTGGCTTGAGCGGGTATGGGTGTTTAATTAAACTGGATCTGGTTACCACCCTACTTTTGGGGTTGAAATCAATTGAACACCCTCCCCCGAAACGGGGCACTACATTCCAGTGAATTTTCACTAAACAATCAGGAATTAGAGGTTAGCTAAACAACCTAAGCCTGCTTGGATGTCCTAGAGCTATATAAGGGGACCACAATACAAGCTACCACTACTCTAGCTCATGCTGCTACTGCCTCTGCCACGTGCTCTAGTCGTCCTCGTCATCATCTTCATCATCGCCAGCATGCCACTCCTCAACATCACTCCCATCTGCCAGCTCATCCCACCAGTGGCTGTTATCATCCTCTTCAGCAATGCCTTCAGCCGGCCACTCCACACTTTCTTCAGCTCGTTGTGCTTCTGCTGCTGTCTCTGCCTCTGCTGTAGAGAGGTCGGCATCATCTGCTACTGCCGCTGCTGCTGCCGCTTCATCCAGGTCGCCATCGGCTTCTGCTGCCGCCGCGGCATCATGCTCCTCGTCGTCGGCTAAGTCCTCGTCGACGTCGATCGTGCGGTCATACAGAGGGTTCACGTAATCGCTCTCACCCTCTTGAACATGGACGTTGTCCATGACTTCCACGCCCGGCTTCTCGCAGAGGTGACGGAGAGCCAAGTTGTCCTCGGAGCCATCCAACGCGTTCGAGATCCCACAGGTCTTGAACGAATTCCGTATGAGCTCCTCTGGAACTGCCGCCCATGACCGTGCAATCCATTTGAGAATGAGCTCCGCTGGGGGTTTTCTCAGATTTCCTGCAGAGGGAGCGGTGGCGGTAAACGGCAACAAGTCAGCGTTTAGAAAGCGATGAATAACATTAACAATGGTCAGATTAGTGTACGAAGCATTAAACGAAGCAGCGGGAACATGAAGTGGGTTCACCTGCTGCTGTTTTGAGGTCGATACCGACCTCCTCGAACCAGGTGTCATAGTCGCTAGGCACACCAGCTTTGAAGCTCTTGTTGACTGCGACATCCAGCGGCTGCACGAGAGGCGTGCAGCCTCCAGGGATGACTGCACGCGTCAGCTTGCACAACTTCATCGTTTGTCCGACCGCCTCTGTGAGGTGCCCCTTGTAGGAGTCGAGGATGACAAGCGCATCCTTGCGCCTGTTGCCGGCTTCGCGCAGCGGCCGAAGGAAGGGGTTCAGGACTTGAGTAGTCCAGTCTTGGACTAGCTTGTCGTCCATCCAGCCCTTATGCTGGGCTCGGATGATGACACCTGCATGGACCCAAACACAACAGGCAGAGAGTCAGTCAACAGACGACGGTGTGGAGCAATCAAGGAATCCACTAGAGTTCAGAATCCCTACCTGGGGGAACCAGAATCTTCGGCAGGGTCTTCTGTTTGAAGATGACATATGGCGGGAGTTTCATTCCTGAGGCTGTGACCGCCAACATGACGGTCAAGCGCTCTTTCTCGTACCCGGCGGTCCTCACGTGTACTGTCCGCGAACCTTTGTGCTCCAAGGTCCTTTCCTGCGGCATCTCGATGAAAAGCGGAGTTTGATCCGCATTGACAATGAGGTCAAGATTGTAGCCGTTGAGCAGTCGCATTTGCTTGA